GCTTTTACAGAATACTTAGTCTCCAGTGCATGAAAAGAGACTTAAAATTCACTGGGGTACCCTGGAAAACGGTAGAATGAAAAGGAATTAGCGATTTTGAAACAGGACATGTTCACGCTGCTGAATAAAGTAACAAAGGCAAGAGGAAACAACGCTTGGTGAAATCAAGTTAGTCGATATTTCATAAAATGATAAATACCTAGAAGTCATGTTTATATATAACGAATTACAATCCTTCCACATTTACCTTAGTAACATTTTACAGGGGTTGTATTTTACTCCCAACTACCAATTATGTCATCATTCTGGCATTTACCTGGACATAATGATACACAGCCAACCCATTCTTGTAACATAATTCATTGCTTAAAAGTGTTTGTAAAGTCACACGGCATTCTACATACACATAATGACTCGGATATTGCTATTAAATTTTACAGATTAAAGTTTAGTAAACCTTAAAAATCTGATGTTGGTTTCTGGGTATCTTATTAATCCTAAAGGAAAAGATGTTCAGCTATTTAAATGTCAATAAATGTGTAACCCTGTAAAAAAGCAGACAATGTATAATCCATTATACAATGCCTCAACTACCGTTTTAATGGAAGAGAGAGACTTGCTTTTTTAACCGTTAAAGGCAGGTCATTTAGACTTGCACTTCTGCCACAACATTATGTCATCTATTAAAATATGAAAATACACACATAAAACACATACATACAAACTTTCACACTTCATACCCTCAAGCTCCGGCGTCTTCCTTTCCCTGACTCATTAAACTCAGTAAAGAAATCGCAACTGTACCCCTGGTTTGCATTTATTCATTTTAATTTAGGTTTGGAGGGGGAAAAAAACACAAGAATTCAGATCTTTTTATAAGCTTGTGAGGTCACCAAATTTAAATTACGCCTTTGCCTGTAAAGCACATTAATAAAAGTACTATACAGAGGGAAATTTAATATGAATGGTTAAAATGCATGGAATTCAGATTTTACTGTCAAACAGCTCAATTAAACAAATTGAATTTTAAAGCAACAAAGGGGAATTGAATCAAATTAGGACCAGAGTGAGATCTGAAATGTGGGCGCGTGTGGCTCTCCAGCAGCGAGTTTTCTTTATTTGTTGCCTCGGCCCTTGGAGGAGACTAGCAGGGGCTGCATTACAAAAGGATAAAAATGTTCGCCATTGAAACACAGTTTTTGGCTCCCAATAAATCATCTGTCACTTCATCACAGCCCAGTAGATAATGAGCAATAAAGTTTTCACACTCAGGGAATGAGGACACAGACGCAAGAAATACAGCTGAAGCTGTAAGTCTGGCTTTTCTGAAAATGGAAGGTGCTTTGTATAAGAAATGGCCCTACGATCTCTTCAAAGAAGAACACAGCATCTGTACAATAAACAATTTACTGCATTAAAAATTAAACCCCATTTATTAGCAACTTTAATGACAACAGTATGTTGAGGTCGATGCATTAAATAAAGCATGATGTTGATCCAGAAATAGCCCCGTGCTCACAATCTTGCTGGAACAGGGCGGTCTATACAATGAGTCACTATAATTTTTACTGGCATTATTTGAAATGTTTATGTGCATACAGAATTCCCCATTTGGCATTTAAATGGTGTTAACATATCTGTGACTCAAAAATAATTTTTATTCAGATGAGTTTCTGTATATTTGCCCCCACACATACACACACAAAAGAAATCAATTGAAAAGAACAAGAAATTTGAACTATTGATTCCAAAATCATATGCTAGGCTATTCCACAAATGCATCCCTGGTATTTGCAGATTTTCTACAAAGCTTTCACCACAATTACCCTGAATTGTTTCTGACTTTTACTCACCCATCTCTGAAACCTGCACGTGGGTGGGCTACATTATAACCAAAACCAACTGGACAGAGAATAAACCAGAAAATACGGGGAAGAAAGACGAAGGGAGAGAAAAAAAAAAAAAAAAAAAAGGAAAAGCCAACTCAGTGTCACACCAGTTGCCCTGAATAAAATATTTCATAAAAAGTGCTCATTGAAACTGGCACAGTTGAATGTGGGGCAGTCAGATGACCCCTCAAAGCAGATCTTTCCTGTGCTGGTCACCAGGTAGGCCGCGGGTCCCTGCCCCTGCAAAGGAGGACAGAACCAGCCTGCCTCTTGTTACAGGAGTTCTGCCCACGCTCTCATTGCTGAAATGTGTGCGTGAGGACAGAGTTAGCCTTGCGGTTCTCTGGTGGGTTCCTAGGGCCACGCTTCGGGAGGTCAGATGATGTGGCTCAATAGGATGCCAGCTACAGTTCAAAGCACGCACCCCAGGATTTCTCGCCTGGGTCCTGTCTCAGAGCCCCTGAGACTCAGCTCCTCCTTGGAGGGCATCCTTCCCTCCCAAACAGTCCGGAGAGGGCCACGCCAGGTACCTGGAATGCCACATGAGCTCTGCCTCCCAAATTCTGCTTTGTCAATTCCAAGTCCTAGGACAGGTCACACCACAAACCTTGGGGAGGAAGGGGAAATAAATCATAAATTATAAATTAAAATCTGAGTGGAGGGTCTTGCATGATTCCCTAGGTGGCTGTCAGTGGCCCTTTGGATGCACCAAGACCAGCAAAATAATGCTGCTTTAAACCAAAGAGGAGAAAAATCCAAAAGGCTTTTTGGATGACCACTATATTCACATCTTGTGGACCTGGGTTCCACAGGGTGGGTGTGCACTGCCACGTAATGTTTCACCGGGGCCCCTGGGCAAGGGGGCAGGGCAGGGGGTCCAGAGGCGGTGCTTGGTAGGAGTGAAAGAAACACCCCTTCTCCCTTTGAGGTGGTCCCGGTGCCCGGTGCTTGGCGATGGTTGATGCGGGGATGCCAGGAAATGGCATGGGTGACAGGAACCTTAGAACACCATCCAACCCAAAATCTATAAATCTCTTACCTAATTTCACATCTATTCTATGAAAGTCCCTGATCCAATAGGACTCACGATTTTTAATTAATGCTGTTTGATCTTATTAACGAGTGTAAAATTATAATGAAACAAATTGCAGCAATTTGCAGTTGAAAGATATTAACTAATACTATTGCAACAGAAAAAAAAATCACGCTGATATGTAAATAAATGCAAATCAGATCTCCTTGCTGTATTTTGTGCCTAGTTTCTGAGAAAGGCAAGTCACTTAAAATCCTTATTTCTCAGTTGTATTCGTTAAAATAATGCATGTTAATTATATTCCGACATTCATCTGACAAATAACTGATAAGTTACACAATGTAACTACTAATAATCCTTGCAGCCCATTTTATTATCTTATGAAATTAGAGATTGAACATTGATTATGACTAATAGGGGATTTCATCCAATAAAGACAGCACATAAGAAGAAGTATATAAAGAAATGGGTAGCTGGCTTTTGAATAGCTAAAAGGAGCTATGTTCAGTCATTAATTAGCAAAGACAAATACTCTGGGTAAAGATTGTAATAGTTGTACTTTGTCAGACTGGAGATGAATTATTTATTTCAACCCCAGCTATACTGTAGAGTACAAGTTGAGTTTGTTTAGCAACAATAGTAGAAATGTATTTGCTACAGGGCCAGCCTGGTAACACTGCTTGTTAAGGCCCATGTGCTATTTGTAAGCAAATTTATAGGAAAAGTACGCAATGTCTAATCCTAAACTACTCCAGCCTCAGACTGAAGGGTGATTTTACAAACGTCCTGCAGCACTCCATCATCCCTTCATTTTAATGTCTTTATTTTATGATTTTGTTGATGAAATACTACGTACCCAGTGCTCAAAATTCCTTTTAGGCTGCAGGCACTGGCTAGTTGACATGGCAAGCTATATTTTACGGCCGTATATTTCAGCTCTCTCTGTCCAAGTTGGAGGACACAGTAACCAAGATGGTTTTTCATCGTAGAAATATATTTTCATATTTATTTATTGATTTGACTAATGTATCTATTTTTCAATTCACATGCTTATGTTTCAATCCATTAAAGTGATTCATGGTCAAATAATATGTTATTGCAAGTACAAAGAGGAGATAAAAACCACTGTACGTTTGCTATAACACAAGAACAAAAATAATAAAAAAAACATTGCATGATTAAATATAGTTTTAATCCCCCAAAGATCAAAAAGAAAATGATGTTTTTAATTATTTCACAAAAAGGCATAAAATAAAAGTTTTTTAAGAAAAAAATGCAATGCAATTACCTATGAAATAAGTTTCCCAGTAATAAATATTTTGTGGATGTTTCTTAACAAGATTAAGTACTCAATACGGACTTAGCATAAAGCATGAAATTAACAACAAAATAAAATCTAAAATGGGTCTCAACGACTCAGCAGGAGACTGGGTGGCAAAGCTGACCAGCTCCTGGATGTAAGCACTCCATCCTTCAAGTGCCTTTTCCTGGAGCAACTCGGTGAGGTTAATATGCTCTTGAGATCCTAGATTCTTGGGATGAAGATCGCCACTGACTTGGCTAATGGGCAGCCATGCTGACCAGCCACCAAAGTGCTGGGTGAGCCTTGAGACAACCCATTTGGTTTGGCCCTAAAGGGACCCTCCAGTGGACGAGACTGGGGAGAAATCATCGCAGGGCTGCTGCTTCTTGGCACCCGTCCCCTTGCAGACTTGCAACAAATTTCATTCCGCTTGAATGTTTGTTTTATGAACGCTTAGAGGTGCAAAATAATTAAAACACCGTATGTACATGCGTGTGTGTGTGTGTGTGTGTGTGTGTGCGCGCGCACATATGTGTCTGGAGATAGAGTGTATTATTTCAGGACACACCATCTTGCTATGTGATTATGTTTAAACACAGAAGGTGAAAGAGATACAGGTGCACAAAGAAATACAAAGCCTAAACTCACTCAGGACAAGAGAAGTCACTTGCACTCCTGGAGCAACAATAAGCATTGGTCCCAGGAATGATCTAGCACAGTGGGCAATAATCCAGGATGGAAACAGAACACTGACAATAAAATGGGATGAAAGGGGGCGCAATTTACATCAAAGGTGACTGACATGTGCAGGCATGTCTTAGAGAGGAAATAGGACTACAAAGGAAAGAGAAAGCCCCTGCCGGCACGGAGTTGGGGCTGTGAGGATCCCGGCTCTCTGCAGAGGGTGTGACCTTTACTGTGGCTGGGATGGGAGGTGCGTGGCCCAGCAAGGACAGGGTACAGCAGGTGAGGTCAAGGCCAAGTCGGTAAGCTCCTTCACTCCACATTCAAAGATGTCTACTGAGCATCCGCCACGTGCCAGGTTGGTGTTAAGGAGCTGGTGTTAGTCTCTTCTCTTTTCCAAATATTTTCTATAGATCTGGCCAGACCTCAGCTGCCTTTCAAAGAAATCCGGAAATAAGGAAATTATTACCAGTGGTGTGGAGAATGGCTGTATCTCATTACTAGTCTCACATGGGTTTGGCTCCCATCTCGTATCTGATCTTCTCCCAGCCTAAACCAGGAGAGGTATCACAAGCCCAGAGCGTGGACCTCACAGTCGGCAGCTTGTCCCAGCCTTAGTGCCCATCTTGCTCTGAGAGTTGAGAGCAGGGGGAGGGGGCATCCAGGGTGAGCTAATGCTTTCCTCTAGAGCAGACTGTATGTAAAGGGGGGGAACCTTCTCACACTGTATTCAGTGTGGGTGCACAGGACAGAATGAGAAGATATCAGAGAGGAGCTCTGGACATACTTGGAATATTCTTCACCAGCTCAGCCCTTCCCTTTCCTGGTCTTCTGCAGAAGCCAGGAGGTATCTTTCTGCTCACTGGTCCTCGAGGCATATCTCCATTCTCTAGACCTCATCTGAGAATCCAGATTGCAGGGATTTAAGGATGAGCCTATAGAAGAAAGATAAAAATCATTCACAGTCTCAAAATTTAGAAATATCCATTTAAACATTTTTTTTTATTTTTAAACATTTTGGTGATTTTTTTTCCCTACCTTTTGCCATAAGAATTCACACTTTTCAAATTAAACCTTGGGTCAGCCCCTTCAGACTGTTTCATTGCCCACATTTTACACTAAATGTTTTATACTAAATAGTATTCCACAACAATTTTGAATGGTTGCCTAGCATTTCATGGTATGAATGTACCGTGAATATACAGCTGATTACACTCTGTTTTCCTGTCACCAAAGATACTGCAATAAAAAAAAAATCTCTGAAGCCAAGTCTTTATTAATATCCATAATTATTTCCATAAGATAAAACTTAAAGTAGAATTTAAAATACTGGAAAATTGGTAACCAGACAGGCTATATCATACACTTCACCTTCAGCTATGCCCATTTTCCTACACGCTCCCAACATCAGATATTCTCATTAAAATGCTTTTATAAGTAAACATTTATATATGTAATTTTATAAGTAAAAGAGTATCTCATTTTTATTTGCATTTCATTACGAGTCAAGTTTAGAGATTTTATGCTTATTGGTCATTTACATTTCTTCTCTTTTATTTAATTACCCTTTTAAATCTTCTGCATATTTTTCTTCCTGTAATTTTATTTTTTAACCTAATATTTATTAGTTTTTGTTGGTTTGTTTAACCACAGAGAAGCATAAAGAAGAAAACTAAACTTGCTAATAATCTCTCTCCAGGAATGTCACTGACATTACTTCTTTAAAAATGCCTGTGCAAGATTAGAAAATGCAGCAATATGCTTCCTTCTATCCCCAGGGCCCATGCCAGCTCCTCTTCTCAAATCCTGTCCCTGAAAGTCATGTTCTTTGATTCCTACTACCACACTTCCGCTCCACACACGTGTGCGCACACATTCCACACATGCATTCACACACCCAGTGCTTTGCTTTGCTTTCACAGTTAGTAGCAGAGGTTAGAGATTTTTCCCGTATAATCATACCATGATCAAACCATATCCTTTGTCATGACTGCGTAAGATAACTAGTCCCTCAGTGCTGGATGCATTGTTTTTATCTGGGTTTTGTTATTTTAACAGGACAGGAATCAAAGTGTGTGAGGGGGGGAAGAGACAGAGAAGGCACTTTGTGAGTATGAGGGTAAAGGCCTAAAGGTGGGGGATTTCTGGTTTATACTTCTTTAGTGATTTGAAAAATTTTAACATACTGAAGATGTTGACACTTGAACTGTAATATAAGTTGCAAACATTTTTCATAGTTTCTTTACAATCTAATTTTTTAACTTGGAAATATATTTTTCTAATTTCAAACCCAGTGACTTTTCTTTCCTGGTTTCAACATTTGATTGTCACATTTACAAAAACCTTTGCTTACAGAAAGATTAAATAAACTTTTACATAGATTTTTTTTCCTGGTATTAATATAAAATAGATCCATTCTTAAACTTAAAATATTGATCCTCCTGGTGCTCATTGTAAGTCTAAGTATAAAATAGGGATCTAACTTTTCTTTTTCCAAAGGCTTAACTAGTTGCCCCTAACTATTTACTGAAAAACCCTTTCTTTTCTTACTACCCTAAAATGTCATCTTGGTTATATCTAAATTATTTATGTCTCTCCCTGAAATTTCTTTCTGTGCTATTGATCCATATACCCTGCACCACGAGCACATTGTTCTAATCACTCTAGTATTTTAATATCTAGTAGGTCAAGTCCTCTCTCATTATTCTTATTTTTCAAAATTTCCTTGGCTCTTCTCAGCCATTTATTTTTCCAGATGAACTTTAACAACATTCTGTTAAGTTCCACCCTAAATCCCGCTGGGACTAGAATTGGATATTCATTGAATTTGTGGATGAATTAGGAGAAAGTTGACATCTGCACTACTAAATCTTCTCATACAGGAACATTATTCTTTATATTCATTTAAGTCTTTCTTTTTTCCATCCCTTGGCAAAGTTTTATAATTTTTAATACTTTTCCAGGACACTTTGTAATTTTATTCAGACTTATTTTATATTTCTGTCACTATTGTAACAGATTGTAAGATGTTTTTGCCTGGAATGTATGTTCTATGCAACTTTTGGCTGTTTTGTGTTAAATAAGAATCTGCTAATTTATGCATATTAGTTATAAATTAAATTTTAGTTGACATGGTTAAATATTAGCTAAAAATCAGCTAAAATTGTCTTGGTAACTCTAATGTGGTTTGAGTTGATTTCTTTAGGTTTCAGAAATAGTTATGTCAACTGGAAACCATTCTAATCTTTTCTCTTCGTCTCGAGTAATTCTGTGTCTTTTTTCTGAAACTTACAAAATAGTCTATTTACGCAACTAATAATGTATGGAACACTACATCTGAAACTAATGATGTACTATAAGTTGGCTAATTAAATTTAAATTAAAAAAAATTAAATAAAACTTACAAAATAGTCTATTTAAATAGGAATCATAATGATCAGCTTGGGTTGTTCTTAACTGTAAAAGATGTGATTCTAATGAGACCAGGCAGGCACAGGTTGATGATCTTATAAAATACTGTTTCCATGCTTAGGACATATCCCCTTTATCTCCTTGTTGTTAATATCAAGAAGAAATGTTCAATTTTATCAAATAACTTGGCTGCATCAAACACAATAAGCACATGTGTTTTTACCTGCATCCTACAAATGGGGTCGATTCTCCCAGATTTCTTCGGGATGATTCATGCCTGCGTGCAATGAACACTATGAAGTCACAGTAGATCATTCTTAAAAGTTTGGAATCTGGACTCAGAAAAATCTAGGTTCGAATCTCATCTCTACTACTTCCTGGTTACGCCATAATGAGCAACTTACTTGACCTCATCAAGCCATCCGGCCTTCCTCTTCTTAAACACAGTCGCCAAGGATTAAGTGAGATTCGTGTATACAAACCCCTCCACAGGAACACGTTCAACAAATGTTAGAGTAAATCATTATTTTTGAATATGCTGTTTCTTTCAGTTTGGTAACAAAAAATTTTTATTTAGGACTTTTTCATAGGTGAAATTGATTTATAGCTTTCTTTCTATATCTGTATTAAGATTTGATATCAAGAATCTTCTATTTTTATAAAATGAATTGAAAAGATTTTCTCCTTTCCTATGCTCAGAAATAGTTTATATCGAGTAGAAATTAATTGTAGGTTGAAAGATGCAAATAAGTGGAAATCACCCTTGAAACCACTACATTTGGTTGTTACACTTCTGGGAGGTAGAAGGAAAATGGTTTGGTTTCTTTCTCGTTTCATGTGGTGACATGGCCCAGTCCGGGGCTCTACCTCATACTCTGAGTCAATTTTCATCATACATATTCCTAGGAACCCATTGTGTCATCAAGATTATCAACGATATTCAGACATATTTTTTATCATCTCTGCATCTTGTGTGAATGGTCCCTCAACGCAACCTGGTGCGTTTGGAAGGTGATTTTTTATTTTGTTTTATCATACAAAATAAACTTTTAAAAATTATTTTCAGGGGCGCCTGGGTGGCTCAGTCGGTTAAGTGACTGCCTTTCGGCTCAGGTCATGACCCTGGAGTCCCCGGGATCGAGTCCCGCATCGGGCTCCCTGCTCGGCGGGGAGTCTGCTTCTCTCTCTGACCCTCTTCCCTCTCGTGCTCTCTCTCTCTCTTTCTCTTTCTCACTCTCTCAAATAAATAAATAAAATCTTAAAAAAATTATTTTCAAAGAGTCAACACTCAATTTTTCTCATCATTTTTGTCATACTCTAATAGATGATCTCATCCTTATCAGTTCCTTTCTCCTACTATTCTCAGGTAAGTTTATGCTCTTTTATTTTGTCTTCCTTGATAGAATGGGGTTTTTTTTTTGTTTATTTTCATTGTTGTTAATAATAAAAACGTTAACAGCTATCAATCTGCATATTGGTACAGCCATGGCCACATCCCAGGAAGCTTCCTATGACCATTCTTCTATTATTCATTTCAATAATTGAAGTTTGTTTCTCCTTCACCTATTTTTAGTGACCTGCCTTTTTCATTCTCAGGAAAAGATTTTTTTTTAATTTTCCTGTGTTGTCATAGTTCTTTAAACTATTATTTCTTTCTAGTTTCATTGCATTGTCATGAGACACTGTGTCACAATTAAACATTCCTTTTGGGGGGAATATACTGGTGTTTTCTTTTGGAATAAGTGATACATTTTAAAAAGGTTCTATGTAAGACTGATGAGTCCCAGACCTGTAGCCCTGAAACAAATAATACAATAAAAAAGTGTTCAGTGGATATTTAAAAATAGTGTATACTTTATGCGGTACAAAGTTTAAATATATTAGCTATATTATGTTTTATATACTAATTATATTATTGAAATTTCTTATATGGTGTTTTTTTACTTGATGTTAAGAGAAAGTATGTTAAATCCCCCTACTGATATTATAGTTTTGTTATTCATGAATGTCTAACAATATCCCCTTTATATATTTTAATGTGTCACTAATTAAAATCTCATATGTTGTGCTGTTATAGCTTATGTCTGTTGAATTAAACAAGAAGGCCAGCCCAGGTGAGGTCAAAAGACAACTTCCGTTCTCCCCACCCACCCTGTCTCGCCTCCCACAGCTCACACCCTGCGGGAGTCTGGAGGAGGGTGCCGGGCCCTGTCTCTACTCTGACGGCTCCTCCCATCCCCTGCCCCCCGCAACCTGCTCCCCTGCCCCCCAGTGTTGAGGGAAGAGCCAGACGAAGGGAGGGCAGGACAAGTGGGGTCACGTGGCCAAAAGCTCCAGGTCTCAGCCACTTTCCCTCCCTCCTCTTCCTCCTCTGTCTCTGTCTCCATAGGCCACCTTCGGAAAACACTGGTCCTATTAGACTAGGGGCCCACTCTATGCCAGTATGACCTCATTTCAATTATTTACACCTACAGTGACCTTATTCCCAAATAAGATCACATTCTGAGAGACTGGGGGTTAGGACTTCAACACGTATTTTTAGGTCGTTATGGTTGGAATCTTTTAAGCCACCCTATAACATCTGCCACCTTGGTGTATCCTGGGACCTAGGGAGCACTCAGAAGTGACATATGAATGAATAGGTTTGGAAGGAGGACAAAGGATTCATGCCTAGGCTCAAATCTCCCTCTAGATTATGATCGGATCCTTCTCCCCTCCAGGGTCCTGGCTGTGGTGCACAGGTGGATGGGCATTAATGACACATAGGCAAAATGAGCCTATTGTTAAGCCTATCAGCTGTGGACCCGGCTGTCACCTACATGAGGAGGTCCAAAGTCTCCATATTTGCCTGATGGATGAAGCAACTCAAGGGGTGGGGTGGGTTATGTCGCCTCACTGAGACATCCAAACACCTCTTACCCACAAACTGCTGGGCCATCACTCCATTGCAGGGTCTCCAGATCCCTGTATGCCCTCAGTCTCCCCCACTGCTTCATCCCTGGAAAGTTCATATGTGGGCTTCACTGAGCAACCTTTCAAGAGGTGGAAAAGCTCAGGCACAAAAACGGAGTAAACGCTGTCCGGTTCTTTGGCGAATGTGTGTTTATTTAAAATGGATTCTTCCCAGGGTGTACTCCAAATCCTGCCCATGCCTTACCCTTTTTTACCACTTCTTTTTTCTTAGAAATATCAAATAAAGATCTGATGAAGAATGAAAACACTAATTTTTAAAGAATTTATTTAACCTTGAAATTGGCTGAGACATGTAGGATGATCAAAAAATAACCCAGACTCATCTCTTCCTAAACAGCGAGCACCAACTCCCCCAAACTGCTCCTCCGTGAGAAGCAGCACATATCACTTGTTGATGTTGATAAAAACATAGAAACAGAAATGTATTATTTCAGTAAGAATAAGTGAAACTTCAGATGTCACTCAACTAGCTCTGGAAAATATTTTGGTCTAAGATATTAAGATGGAAAATGTAGAGAAGGCATCTAAAAGTGATAAGTATGTGTTAATTAAAGAACACACAACAAACACAAATATAGGAAAGGACTCAGCTTTCTCCAGGAAATACAATAGTGTCTAGAAGAAGAGACCAAGGCCCCAGGAAGAACCAGAGCCAGGCGTCTGCTTGGGGCTGGCTCTCCACTGAGTAGCTGCAAGGGGAAAAGTGCCACAATTCAGGGCCACTGGTGGTACTTTTCGGTGAGCCTGGGATAAATTTCACTCCCAACCTGATTCCAGCAAACCAGAGGGAACAGTATTTATGACTTCAGCCATAATGCCACTAAAAACACTCTTCGAATTCTACAGTCACAATCCAACCAATCCACTGGTTCTTCTAGCAGGACCTGATTTTGTCTATGCAACCAGACAGAAACTTTTGGAGGAATGTCTGGGATCTAGGGCAATGCCCTCCTACCTTTCTAGTAACTGGTGCAAACCCATGTGTGCATGCTAATGCACATGTTTTGGAAGCATGAGAGCACATTGGCAGAATCTCACAGCTGTTGTTGTGCAGGAGTATGGTTTCAAGTTACATGAATCCCCTCATGTGGTCTGTAGAGAAAACCCCACTGTAAAGAGAGGTGAGACCCTCAGCTGAGCTGGCAGGAACCCTCCCCCCAGGCGAAGGGGCATCCCAGGAGGCGGTTTTTGCCCGGGGGCACTGGTGGGCACTGGGACTGCAGAGGGGGAGAGGGAAGTTGGGTTCTGCATCACTTTTTTTTTTTTTTTGGCTTCCGGTATTTCTCTGCTTAATGCTGAATGGACACCCTGAATGTGGAGGAGTCTGCCAGTTCAGTGTTAGAAGGCACTTGGTCCCGGTTCTCACTAGTACAGGAAGTGGGCAGAGATAGGAAGGCTCTCCCCCACCAGGAGAGTCCCAGCTAGAGTGCTCCAGAGTGAGAGGGGAAACTGCACAGTTAGAGAAAAAGCTTCTGGACTCAGGGCGAAGAAGGTGAAGATCCGGCGTGGGATGTGCTTTAATCAACAGAGATGGAAGCCCCACACCCGGGACAGGTGTCTCGGTTTCAGCCACCACATGGTGGAGGTGCAAGTGGAGACCCAATTGTGGACAGACACAGTCAATGTCCACAGGAAGCAGGAATGCTGCTCTAAAGTCATGTCCATTTACTTATCTCTCCATTTGCTCAAATTTCTCATAAAAAGTAGCAGCAAATTAGTGTTCATTAAATTGTCCCAGCTATACTAAAAATGCACTTACCTTTTTTGAGTAAAACTTGCCTAATTGTTCACTCTGCACGGGACTTCCTTTAAAAATGCATTCAAATGATGCTAAACAGAAGGATGTTACATGGTGACATTTACTATGTGGGGCCTTGCTGCCTCGGACCCCCGTTTAAAGGATGTGTATTTGTGTCCTAGAGCGGCTGTCACAAAGTGTCACAAACTGGGTGGGAAACAACAGAAGCTTAGTCCCTGACAGTTGTGAGAGCCAGATCTGAGACCAGGGGGTGGGCAAAGTTCATCCTTTCTGTGGGATGAGAATGAGTCCCGTGCCTCTCCTGGCTCCTGGTGCTCGCTGGCAGTCCTTGGCCGTTCCTTGGCTTGTGTGGATGGATCACTCCACTCTCTGCCTTCATCTTGGAGAGGGTTTGTCCCCCTTGAGCCTCTCTGTGGGCCTGATACCAGTCATATTGGTATGGAGCCCACTCTACTCCATTATGATCTCACCTTAACTGATTACATCAGAAATTACACCATTTCCAAATAAGGGCAAGTCCTGAGGTTCTGGGAAGGGCATGAAATGTGGGGAGGGTGACACTATCCAACCCAGGACAGTAGGAATTTGACTTGATTTTTTAAAAGATTTTATTTATTTATTTATTTGAGTGAGAAAGAGAGAGAGCACAAGCAGGGGGAATAGCAACATAGGGAGAGGGAGAAGCAGGCTCCCTGCTGAACAGGGAGCTCAATGCAGGGCTTGATCCCAGGACCCTGGGATCATGACCTGAGCCAAAAGCAGATGTTTAACCAACTGAGCCACTGAAGCATCCCTGACCTTGATTCTCAATATGCAACTTTTCAAGGCACTTAGCCCAGCACCCTGCGCAAAGAGAACATCTCAGAACGGCCGTGTTGGTGATTGATTTTGCCCGACCTATCTTATCCCCAGTCAGGGCTGAGGATATCAGTCTACCCAGCTCGGAAGATGTGGGGGGTGTGACTAATTGATCGACTTTAACAGATGCTCAGCCACCACTTACGTTGCCAGAAATCATGTGTAAAGGGGAGCAAATGATGGAAGATGCTGTGGAGACAACCTTATGTCAATGTCTGCCTCAGAAAGAGTTAAGCTCTGAAAGCAAAGGCTACAGAGTTAGTGGAGACACAGAGGCTCAGGGAACCACACGGCATTCAGCCCTAGCAGGATCCCTTCTGAGCACATCGCGGGCAAATGCTAGCTGGAAAGGACCCCCAAATGAGCCAGCAAGTCTTCCACTCCATCATGAAGAATTGTTCTCTGGAGTGGGTACCAGTGGGGATGTGTTTGAAACACTTACCATATGTGCCTGAGAAGGGTCTAATTTGTCCATCTTGAAATTTTGCCTTTCTTTTGAAAGGATAGTTAATTTAAAGTAATTTGTTTCACAGGTGAAGCCTTTTTCCAAGTGTTTAATATATCACCCTTGGTTGCTTAAACAATTAGAAATTGTCACCAAAGAAAAATGTCGCAGTTCATGTAAATAAGTGTTTACCTAAAGGACTGGGAACCCACCAGAGTCAGCACACTTTAATGAGGCATGACAATGGAGAGAAAGCCAGGGCTCGGCTGCATCTGCTAAAGCTGACATTGCTTATGGTAAAAATTGGCCAAAACAACTATTATTTGTTTTTTTCTTGTCAGAAATAATGTAGCTTGAAAATTTTCAACAGGCAACATGAGTCC